CTCCCTCTCCCACTCCCCCTGCTTGTGTTCCCTCTCTCGCTGTGTCTCTCTCTGTCAAATAAATAAATAAAATCTTAAAATAAAATAAGGGGACTTTTGGAAAGCCTCCGAGGAGGGGGCTGGTTGCCAGGGGAACCAGCTGGGGGATGAGGGGGTTGGACCTTCCAGCCCCACCCGCTGCCTCCACCTCGGGCGGGGAAAGGGGCTGGAGGCAGGGCTAGTCACAGTGGCCAAGGATTTAGTCAACCATACTAATAAAGCCTCCACTCTCACAGCGTTTCTGGCTTGCTGAGCATGTGCGGTGCTGGAGATGGTGTGGAAACTCCGTCCTCCCCAGCCTCCCTTGCCCTGTGCATCTCTTCCATCTGTTCCCTTTAATAATAAACCAGGAACCTAGTAAGTGAACTGTCTCCCCGAGTTCTGTGAGCCATTCTAGCAATTTCAAACCCAAGGAGGGAGGTGTGAGAACCTCCAATTTATAGCCGGTTGGTCAGAAGTACAGGAGAGAATCTGGACTTTCAATTGGCGCTGGAAGTGGGGGTGGTCTTGTGGGACTGAGCCCTTCACCTGGGGGGTCTGCGGCCACCTCCAGGTCGACAGTGTCAGAACTGCATTAAAACTGTAGGACACGCTGCTGGGGTCACAGAATTGAAGGGGGTGGGAAAAGCCTGCACATCTGGTATCAGAAGTGAAACCTCAGGGGCACCTGGTTGGCTCGGTCAGTAGAGCATGCAACTCTTGATCTCGGAGGTTGTGAGTTTGAGCCTCACTCCGGGTATAGAGATTACTAAAAATAATAAATAAAGTTAAAAAAATGCCAACTCACATGGATAGGCTTAAAAAGAAAAGTGAAGCATCGAGAGGAGAAACAAGTGTTTTTCCTTCATGACGTCTATCAGGATAGATGCAAACGCCCACACTCTCTTGTGCTCACGATACTTATTCACACAAAGAGGACCACTATATGCTGTTTTATACTTTGCCTTTTTTCTCCTTAATACTAGTTCCTGGAGATCCACTCTTCCACATTGGCACACAGGATGTACGTCAATCTTTTTAATGAATTATTTAACTATAGTCTGAATTGTTGGATATTCATCTTGTTTCCAGTTTCTTGTTTATAACCGAGAGAACTTCATAGTTAAAAGGGCCCTGTACAATCATGGGTTTTATTCCCCTCATCATAGTTTAAGATTTTTAGTTATTTATTTGACAGAGAGAGAGAGAACACAAGCAGGGGGAGCAGCAGAGAGAGGGAGAAGCAGGCTCCCACTGAGCGGGGAGCCCAACGTGGGGCTCGATCCCAGGACCCCGGGATCATGACCTGAGCTGAAGGCAGATGCTTAACCGACTGAGCCACCCAGGCACCCCTCCCCTCATCATAGTTAAGAGAGAATACTACGTGGAATCCAAAATACTTATGAGTTACAAGTTCTGGAACCATCAACGAAATGATGGTGTGTTTCTTGGGAGATGACAGAGCAAAGCAGGTTTCAGACCCAGGCCTGTGCCCTCACCCCCAACTCCCCAGATCTTTCCACAGGACTGGACGCAGCTCTGGGTCCCAAACCTACTCTTTTCCACTATCAAACCCAGACTCTGATGCAAACCTCCTTTTTAAGCTGTGGTTTCCAGACTCACACTCAGAAATCCTTCCAGGAAAAAAAAAAAAAAAGGCAGGCAGACTTTCTGAACTGTTACAAACAAACCATGTTTTCCCAACCCATTTCTGAAAATTAGAATCAGCTCACCTGCAGGTCGAAAAGGAACGGGAATCAGTTTGCTGTTGTCAGGATGCACGGTTGACTTTGCAAAGGTAAACACAAAGGTTAGTCTGATGTTCGGCTTTGTTTTTGTAGGGGGCTAAAAATTAGGAAAGGGCTGAAACTTACGAGACTTCTCTTCCAAGCGTCTTTTACCTGAAAAGAGAAAAACAAGCAACAGCTTTTAAAGGTAAATTGGCAGCAAAAGAGAAAAAAAAAAAACCCCATCTCTTCTCCAGTCTCATTTCTGGTGCCATCTTCACTCTGCCTTTTCAAGAGTGAAGACCAGGGGCGCCTGGGTGGCTCAGTCGTTAAACATCTGCCTTCGGCTCAGGTCATGATCCCGGGGTCCTGGGATCGAGCCCCGCATCAGGCTCCCCGCTCGGCGGAGAGCCTGCTTCTCCCTCTCCCACTCCCCTGCTTGTGTTCCCTCTTTTGCTGTGTCTGTCAAATAAATAAAATCTTAAAAAAAAAAAAGTGACAACCAGAACTGTTCAGTGCCACACAGATTGAAAAGTCAAAATAAATGAAGCAAATGAATCAAACAAACAAATGAACTGACAATAAGCAATGAGATGACCCACAGAAAGAGAATGACCAGAACATTAAAAAGTCCTCAGTCTCTCTTTTTCAAAGATTTTATTTATTTATTTATCAGAGAGAGAAAGCACAAGCAGGGGGAGCAGCAGGCAGAGGGAGAGGGAGAAGCAGGCCACCGATGAGCAGGGAGCCTGATGCGGGGCTCAATCCCAGGACCCTGGGACCATGACCCGAGCCAAAGGCAGACGCTTAACCAACTGAACCACCCAGGTGCCCCAAAAAGTCCTCAGTCTCTTACCTTGGAGAGAGTTCAAGACCAACACCTAACTTAGCCCTCGGGTGAGTCCCTAAATCCAGCCTGCCCCTGGCTCAGAGAAGAGCAGGTTGTCTGCAGGTGACACACCACGCCATTAGCCAAGGCACCTGCCTCAGAGCTAGGCTGTGAGCCCAGAGGCCCCATAAAGTTCTTAAAAAAAACATCAAACCAACATAAATATGTGCACTTTCCACAGGCTCCCTCACGGAACTGGTATTTGTGGGCTCTGGAAAGCCCCATATACAGCAAGATAGATAACAAATACTTGGTTTAAGTCTTGGGGCAGGAATGTAACCCTGACCCGGAACACTGCCTCTAATGGGAAACAGATTCTGATTTCAGAGGCCTGCCTGAATTCTGGAGTTTGCCATGGGCTGCAGGGATCAGCCACAGAGAATCCCCACTAGTATCTGAGCATAGGAAGAACCCTAGGATTTTTTTTTCGTCCTTAATACTAGTTCCTCCTACTAGTAATCTGGTTTATGAGAACGAATTCTAATTACATCTAAAAAAAACTAACCCAGTTTTGAAAAGCAGATCCCCTGGGCGGTGTTTACGATGACCAAACTCCACCTGATTTCAGACCATGCAAGGAGAAATCTCCTGAAGGCAACCACATCCAACCTTGAACCCAGCACACGAAACATACCCTTTGGTCCTCCAAGTCACGTATGGACGCATCTTCATTTGTTAACAATAGTTGCCTTGATTTTTCTATTTTTTCCTATAATCAGATAGAAAGAAATCAAGCAATGATCTCAACCTGATTTAGATTTGTCCAAATTATTTAGGAATCACATGCTCATTCACACCTGATTTCAGTGCAACTCGTAGCCAAGGTTCTCTATTGCCTGAGAGTTTCCATGAGGATAGTGCTGTGTGTCACTCAGACTTAGAGCTCCAGCAGCTTGACCCACGGGTGGCTGCCACCTCCCCCTCCCCCCAGACAGCTGATGTCAGCTGTCTCTGTGAGTGCTCCCACCATCTGCCTGGCTCTGTAAGTTAGAAACCTAGAAGTCCCTCCTCTCTCTCTCTCCCACATCTGATCCATTTGGGCTGACTTCCTCTCTTCATTTTTTTTTTTTTTGAAATATTTTATTTATTTATTCGACAGAGAGAGATAGCGAGAGCAGGAACACAAACGAGGGGAGTGGGAGAGGGAGAAGCAGGATTCCTGCAGAGCAGGGAGCCCAATGTGGGACTCGATCCCAGGACCCTGGGATTATGACCTGAGCCGAAGGCAGATGCTTAACGACTGAGCCACCCAGGCGCCCCTCTTCATTTTTTTCTTAATTTGAGAAAAAAGAATTAAATACAGAAAAGACAATGAAATGAGTACATACTCATAATCCCCTCATCCAGAATTAACAACAGTAAACATTCAGTCATATTTGCTTCCAATTTTTTTTCCCCAAAAGCCGTCACCCCCAGTTTCGTGTCTCCCCATTCTATCAGAGATAACCACTATTATGAGTTCAAGGTATTAACTTCTAGTCCACTTTTTAATACTTATATATACACGAATACATGTATCTATAACAAAGATGTAGTACTGGGTCTTTATATTGGAATTTGCATAAATGTACTTTACGCATCCTGCTTTTTCCATTAAACACTGTAGACATGTTTTCCATTTAGCATCATATATAGTTTCCACTTAATATTGTACATTGATAACTAGATCATCACTTTTAACTTTTATTAGTATTCCACTGTATGAATATACCACATTTGTTTCTCTATTTCCCTACTGACGGGGATTCAGGTTGTTTTTTAAAAAACAAGGCTGCACGGAACATCTTGAGCACAAGGATGGGAGTGTCCCTGTGGGTCCAGCCCTGAAGGATTATTGCTGCTGATACGGTATCTCCTCCTCTTGAGCCCTCGGCCACACCTGGTTCAAACCCTCATTACTCACCACCTGGTGACCAAAGAGACCCTCTGGAACACAAACCTCACCACCTCGCCCTGTAGGCCAAATGCAAACCCCTCCCATCTGAAGGACACACAAGGCCCTTGAGGACCTGCCTGCTTCCCTGTATTAAAAGCCCCACCGACTAGACGACCTGCTCTCTCCCCTGGGCTTTGCTTACAGTCCCCTCTGTCTGGCCTTGCCTCAACACTCTCCCCCAGTTTCCTGCCGCACCCCTCCTTTAGCACCCTAGGTCTAGGCCGGTGACCACCTTTGTCCGTCTATCCTATTACCAGGGACTTATTTTGATCCCTTCTGATATGGCAGTACCAACCCTGGTGTTATCTGTCTGCTTTTGTTTATAAACCTTCCAGTCTAACAAGCTCATTCGGAAGGAATAAAAACAATATATATGGATTCTGTTTCAACTGCTTTCAAAGGGACGCAGCCTTCACATTTCAGAATAAAATGTAAAATGTCTTATTTCCAAAAACAAGGAAATACTTACAATTGAAACAACCAAATTTGTAGGATCCAACAATTCTGTCCACTGAAGAAATCTCTGAATAAAAGACTTAAGAGGGAAAAGAGCACCAGAGAGGTTAATGGTGGCAGGAACAACAACAACAAAAAAGATATGAGACCCTAACAGGGCCTTCTAACCAAAGCAGCTCCTGGAATCTTCGGGACATCCCCGGGATCTTACAGGTGAGGAAACAGGCACAGAAAAGCTCATGAACGTACCCATGGAAACCCAGCCAGGAAAGGACTCAGTAGCATGTGCTCTTAACCACTTCCATACCAAATTACTCTTGAAGGTTAAAAGCCCAGACTTTGGGGTCAAATGGGCCTAGTCCACATCCCACAAATGACCTTGAACCAACTACCTAGAAGAGTCTTAGAATTTGTTTCTTTACCCTCATCCTTGTTACAAGGATTAACTTGAGTCATAAAGAACCGGACACCCCCAGCGAGGCCTCAGTAAAGGTTGCTCGGTTCACACGTGGAGGAGGCATGAGCTCCCTGTCCCTTTCAACTTCCCCACCTAAGAAAACCCCGCTGGGCCCTACTTTAGGTAAGGCTGAAAGAGAACACCCTAGAATTATACTGTCCAGTTAGCTCCATGTGGCTATGGAGCCCTTGAAATGTGGCCAGGCCAAACTGAAGTATGCTGTATGTGTAAAATATACACCAGATTTCAAAGACTTTCTAGGAAAAAAAAGCATGTAAATATCTCACTAGTAATTTTTATATCGATTATGTGTTGAAATGTTAGTATTTTATATTTGTTGGGCTAAATACATTAAAATTAATTTCAGCTGTTTCTTTTTACCCTCCTGAATGTGGTTACTAGAAAATTTTAAATGACCTATATGGCTCCCATCACATTGCCATTGGGCAGCGCCGTCCAGTCCCCGCCTGGAGGCGGGGCCGGAGCGACTTCCTGTCCTCGCCGGCTGCCCACAGGCCCCGCGTCGTTTGAGTGGCTGAGCCTACCGAGCTTGCGAGGCTGGGGGCTCCTGGGAGCACCTGTTCCTTTCCAACCTGATGCTCAGCAACAGCTCAGGCAGCAGAGGGCCGACACCCGCGGGGGTCGGGGGGGCTGACTCCCCAGGGCAGGGCGACCTTGTGGCGACCCTCGCTAGCCAGGCCCGGGGCAGAGGTGACACGCGGTAACCGCCGTGGCTGTCGGCATCCTGCACTCTTGGGTTTCCCCTTCGTCCCCTCCCGGGGTCTGAGGTGGGAAGGCGGGTGGTGTGACCACGTGGCCTGCCCAAGGTCACCCGGGCCAGCCGGCGACTCCGCGCGGTGACTCCACCGGGCCCAGGGCCACCCCGCCCCCAGCCGCGCCGGGCCCAGGCCGTACTTGACGTTCGGTGATCCAGAAGCGCACGTTGGGCTCCATGCGGGAGCCGCGCCGCTGCGCTTCCTCCTCCTCGGGCGCTGCTTCCTGGGACCTGTGCGGTGTTTGGAGAGGCAGCGGCGGCCAGGCCAGGCCAGGCGCGGAGGAGGAGCCGGGCAGCGTGCCCCGCCCCGGGCGCGCGCGCGTCCCCTGTTCCCGCCGCCGGGTTCCTGGCGCGCCCGCGGCGCGGTGTCGTCGTGTGCCAGCGCCCTGGCCTCGGCCGCCTGATGTTCCCGCTGCCCCGTCTCCGAACTCCCGCTGCTCGCTGTCACCACGCGCCAGCGCCCCAGATCCCACGCCTCCACCCCCGCTCCGGTCCCCGTGCGCCCTCCGTCCCCGTGAGCCTGCCCACCCTCCCACCGACCAAGTCTTCCCAGCCTTATCTACGCGTTAGGGTAGCCGGGCCGCTTCCAGCCTGGGGGCGGGGGGCGGTCACGTATGGGAATCCTCGTATCCTAGTACCTACTGAGAAGGCCCTGCATCTTACCCACGTGACAGGGGCACCAACCTCTTGGACATTATGGTGGAGAATCTTCAATTGCCCTTTAAGTCCAGTGTGGAGGGCACTGGGAATAGTCAGGGCTGGCTACTTAATTTTCACGGTGAAATTTGAAAATGTGGTGCCCCTTATTTAAAAAAGATTGAGAATTTAAGGGCCCCTGGGTTGTGCAGTGGGTTAAGCCTCCAACTCTTGGTTTCGCTCAGGTCCTGATCTCAGGGTGGAGTGACCAAGCCCTGCCCCTGACTACGCCCAGTGTGGTCCGCTTAGATTCTCTCCCTTTCCTTCTGCCCCTCCCGATTGTGCTCTCTAAAGAAATAAACCTTTTAAAAAAAAAAAAAAGGTAATTTAAAAAAGTCAGTATCAGAGAATTAAACCAGGCCCGGGTCCCTTCCAAGTGTGGGGCCCTGCGTTGGCCTGTGATGGGGTCACCACACACAATGCTGCACTGGGGCAGATCCAGTTCCTTTGAATACCAGATAGAGTAGGGGCTGGTTGTAGAAAAAAAATGCACCTGCCTTCCTCCTGGGATTGCCTCCCCTAGCCCGCTGGCCCTGCACTATGGTGGGTGGGGGTTATGGGTGTTTGTTGAATGTACCTTCCTGGATGTTTAAGGAGTTCAGGGGTCCTCATGAGTCTTGGGTTGAGGACCCAGCACCACCGATTACTTAGTTGGATGGTCCTGGTCCAGTCAATGTAAGTGGGTCTATTTACTCATTTGTAAAATGAGGACAATAATTATACCCATTTTAAGGTTTTGTTGAGAATCAAATGAGTTAAAACATGTGAAAGTCCTAATATGACACTGGGTCCATTGGAAATGCTGTTGGGGTCTTTAATAGCCCACTGGCCTATTCCATCCCTTGCCTTGCCTTCTCCTCCAGGGACACGAAACCAGCTCATGTTTTCTTCAGGCCAATGTAACTTGACAGCTTCTTTTACTCAGCCCACCTGGCTCACTTTTCTATAGCCTCAAGAGTTCATCTCCTTTTCCAGGAAGTTCTTCCGCACACCCATAGCTGGGTGAGGTGCCCCTCCTCAGTGTTCCCCTTATGCCCCAGGGATGCATCCATTGTGCCGTCCTTTTAGCACACCGGTATTATCCTGTTGGCTCTACCCTCAAGTATGTCACAAATCCAACTCAGCTTCTCTTCTCAGGACCCTTATGGTCTAGTCTTAACAAAGGAGCCACAGTGATCCTCCTAGAACAAGTTGATGTGACTCTTGTCAAAACCTTCCTTACATTTTCCATCTTAGTGAGAATCCAAAGTCCTTGGCTTGTTCAATTCTCTGCTCTAGCCCTTGCTCCAGTTTTCCTTCCAAACATTCTATGTATTTTTATTGTTATTTATTGGCTTTCCCCCTCTAGAATGTAACTGCATGAAGGAAGGGGGTTGTCTTTTTTTGGTTCACCCTTGTGCCTGCAAAACAGCACCTAACATGTGGCAAGCACTCAGGATTTACCACAATAACGAATAAATGCTTCATCTCTCTCTTGCCGGAACCGGAGTTCTTTGGGTGTAGAGCCAGCATCTTACTCACTTTTGTGGGCCCCGAGTTAAATGCTCCACAAATGTTGGTTGATACAATCAGAAGGAAAACTACAGCCCCATAATATAAGCTGAACCAACAATTAATGGTATTAAACATGCAGATACTTTATTTTTTTTTTTTTAAAGATTTATCCATTTATTTGAGAAAGTGAGAAT